TAAATGCAGTAAATAATGCAATAAATAATTTTTTAAATAAATTTAAGAGTTTTTATATAAATTTACCAAATTTGTAAATTCAATAAATGAAAAAAAAAACAGAACAATTTTGAAAATCAATTTTATACTAAAAATGTGTTGACGCGATAGTCTGAGCTTATATTTACCAATATTAGTTAATTTGATGATTTATAGTTTAGGTTATGCATTCTCTATATATATTCTCATTTCAGTATTAAATAATAATATAAAATCACATTCAATTTATAATTTTATAATTTTAATGAAATTGAATATATTAAGTACAATGCTTACACTTTTATTTTTTTTCTTGCTCACTTTATCAGTTATGACACAGTATGTACAGTTATACTGTGGTCATATGTCATAAATTGACATAATATACACTATCTTTACTAAAATATACTCAAAGCGGAAATATCCCATTAATGGCGGACGACCAATCCGCATCCTGCAGCCTCGGTGTCCTGTCCCTCATTAAGGGGATGCTAAAGCCGTTTGTATTACCGACCAAATTCTATATCTGTCCTTGTATAGACAATGATGATAGACAAGGATAGACATGGTTATAGGTTATAATTTCTTCGAAGCTTTCATTTTTATTCCAGGCTTTCAATCTCAATTTCAAAGGTACGTTATTGTTTGTGCACGTCTTCTGAAGAGTGGGAACATTTTATTTCGTACATATTACTTATACAACTGTTTATATTAGAAAATGAGGTGACAGCATTTTTACATTTTTTTCAATTATCACTAATTTTTTATAATCCCACTCTTCATTAGTACTTATAATTTACTCCTGTAAAAGGATTTTGCGATCTATAAAGCCGTTTCAAAGAACGAGCTTCGACTGCAATTGTCGGTATTTAGCATCCCCTTAAAGGATCCCTAGAGGTGTGTATGCACGAGCGCCACGGTGGCGTTGCGCATGCTAGCGTAGGTAAACGCGAGAAATTCAAACACGGCCTATGTCTCTAGTCGTTTACAATATAAATATATGTATATGTAAATGTAATTTTTATTATAATTTTCATAAAACTATTACGAATAGAATATTACTATATGGTAAGAAGGAAAACAAATTGTAAACAAATTTGTTATGTACAGTAATAATAAGTTTTATTCCTATTTTGTTCTTTAATTTTAATTCTTTACATACTAGAGCTAAAAATGAGTTTGTAATAAATAAATATAATTTAACTATCGCCAGATAGATTAGGCAAAATAATTTGAATTATAATTGGATTTGTATAATATACTAATATTAATATATACATTTGTTATACTATTTATTTAATGAAATTGTTTGTATGCAGGGTGATCATTTATAATGTTAATGACAAATATCTCATAAAATATGCATTCTATGAAAAAATGGTTGACAAAACTTGGTTGAAATCAAAGGGGACAAAATAGCATTATTCACTTCATCACAGATGGCGCTACTATAAGTGAAACGCTACTATAAGTCAACTTTATTTTTTCAAATGAAAACCCCCATTTAATTTTTATTGTATTATTTTATGTCTCCTTTAATTTCAAACAAGTTTTGTCCAAACCATTTTTTTCATAAAATGCACATTTTATGTTTGTCATTAACGTTATAAATTATTTACCCTGAATAAATCCAAGAAAAAAAAAGAGAAATAATGTGACATTTCTTTTTCTGTCTCGTTATAAATATAAAATTCTCTAGCGAGTAAAATGGAATGAAGTAAATGGAAGTTTTTAATCGATCTTCTTAGGGTTACAATTATTCTCATCCATCACTATCCTTCTCCTCTCACTTAACCCTTTGGACGCAAATAATTTTTTATAAATTTAAGTTTTGAAAATAATCAACGTCACTGTATAATTCAGCGTGATTCAGATTTCTAGTTTAACTGATATTTCAATTTTTTTCCAATTTTTTCATTCCCAGATAGCAACGTGTCTGGATTGTTGCTGGCATGTTGCCGACAACATAGTATGTGTTGCTATCAGAATTGTGGCAACTGAGTTCGCATTTGTCGGCAAGTTAATGCCTTCACGATATAACAATTTTGTATAGCAACTTGCCAGCAATTTGTTGATAACTTATGCTGCGTTCTAAAATCGTCTGATTTAAAATTTGAGCTGTTGCTGTCATGTTGCTGTAATAATTCATATATAGGATCACACAATGCTGTCATATTGCTAGCAACGCGAAGTAAATTTGATGCTGTTCTCTTGCCGACAAATTGCTGATATATCCAATGTTGCCTGCGTGTTGCTTCAAATATTAAATTACTCAAAGTCAATTAAAGCAAATGTACGGAAAGTTGCCAGCATCATAAGCAATCACAGGTTTGCGCGATTTTGCTCAGACACGCTTTGCTATCGGGGTTTTTATTTCGGTTGTACAATTACTTTTAAAGACACGTCGCGGCGGCCGCTCGGGTAAACTGCACCCGTTGCACCCCAGCTTGAAACGGCCTTTATATAATATAAAGCAATGGAAAGCAATGTGTGCGCATGTGCACGCACATACACTCTTATCATACGCCTCCATATACGTACGCACACTCACTTTCACTTTTTCTCTCGCATACATCCACATGTGCAAGTTTACGTATCTAAAGAAAGAAAGTAAAGAACAATAGAAAAACCTGATTAAATAAGATATTCCAAATCTACCGTATCATCTGTTAATGATAGATTGCAGAGATTATTTGGACTATAATGTCAAAATATCAAGTTAAACAGAAAGTTTAAAAACTGTTATACATAGTTTTTAAACTTTACTTTATATACTATAATTGAAGTTAGTCAATTGGGTTTGCCAAAAACTCAGGCATAAATAGCAACATCAAATATAGCAACATTTTATAATAATAAAGATACTCTTAAATATATCGACATGATTTGATATTAATTAGAATTATATGAAAAAAATATATTAGTCTTATATAATTTAAGTTATAACATAAATATTAGTAATATAAAAGCTTTGACAGTATAATCTACACGATATTTTAATGTAAATATTTATGCTACTATTAAAAATAAGAGTACAATTGCAAAATTATAAAATAGAACTATTATATTTATGTTCCTTTTTCTCATCGCTGGGTTAACATATTCGAATTCTTTTTTTATATTTTTTCTCATTTAATTGACTATATTTTCATGAATTTTTTTTTTAAATAAGCTTTTCCTGAATTTTAATTACAATTTAAAAAAATTAATTTTTTATTATTTTAATGAAATTATTCATATCTTTTAATAAAATTAAAATTTTTTTAAACTACATTAAATCATGATTTATATTTCTAAAAAAATTTAACAAATTATAAAAATCAGTACTTTTCAAAAAAGATACATAAATGCAAAAATTATTCTTATAAAACAGCATTATAAACATTTGCTATTTAATGTTATAATCTCATATTCCTTGCAAAAATTTTTTTTCTCTTTAGGCCAATATTTCGAATCAAAGCTTCCAGTAGTAAACGCTACCAGGTGACAAATTTAGTAAAAATCTAAAACAAATTTTTTTAATTGTTTTTTGACCATTTGCTTCTAACCATTTAAATTGCGAGAGGACTACTAGGAACAAATTTTTTACATATAATAATATATAAAATATGTCCATGTATATTTCTTGCTCTTGTATAATCTCTGTTTGTATTTTATATAAAAATAATAAGAATTAAAAAATAATTAAAAGGATAATTTTTACATTGTTTTCACAAAAAACTAAAGTTCAATGAAATGAGAAAAACTACCTAATATAATCATATATAAATGTAATTGTATATAAAATATGATTATATATGATTACATATAGAATATTGTATAATTTAATAGCAATTTTATTTTTACAAAAAACAATACAAAAATTAATTTTTTAATTATTTTTCAATTTTATTTGTTATTTTTCTATATACGAACAGAAATTATACAAGAAAAAGAAATATATACTTTGAATAAACTTTATACATATAATATATACAAGGTGATTGAGAAAGAATCTGCAATATTCCGGAGGGTAGTATTGATGATTCTAAGCAAAAAGAGTAATATGAACATGGGTCCTATTCCTAACTGTTACTAAGATATTCTGGTTATAACATGAAAAGAGCACAATGTATATGGAGAGATAAAAATAAATCCATATGTATTATGTCCTTTTCACGTTATAACCAGAATATCTCGGTAACTGTTAGGAATAGGATCCATGTTCATTAGACTCTTTTTGCTTAGAATCATCAATACTATCACCACCTGGAATATTGCAGATTTCTCCTCAATCACCCTATATATAGAATTATACAATATAGAAAATTTTTTTACTGTACATTCAACTTCTTTTTTTAAACGTTCAGACATATTTAAAAATAATTGTATATAATTCAAAATATGTGAGAAATAATCAGTTTAAAAAAAAACAATTAATATTTTAATCGTTTTCAAATACATTCTCCTCAACGTTATCAGCAAGCACAACAGAGTTATTACATAAATCAAATCTACGGCTAGTTCGCACTTTTTCGCCAATCTTGCCTACAGCTATCCCAATTTTTCTCATTTTATATAGCACCTTGACTACTCGTAGAGAAATAAAAACACTCGAGCTCAGGAACAGTATTAGCTATAAATAGATATAGGGTTTTGGCCAGTGTTGTTCCATGTACAAGTTCGTTGTTTATTATTATTATATATATATTGTGTTATATTATATATATATATATATATATATATATATATATATATATATATATAT